TTCGCCCAACCGGACTTGACTCAGTGTCAGCCCAGCTTTTCCCCACTGGACCACAGTTCCAAATAAATCTGCATAACAAAAGCCGTCATAACAATGCACCAAATGGACTAGACTTTTTAACATTATACTTTTAACCGATTCCGTGCGTGGCAGAGATGCAAGGGATTAGCCGATATGGTCTGGGGGCCGGCTGTTCTCTCCCCTGATGCTTCGGCTAGAACATTTTCTTGCGTAATTCGTACACCCAAGGGCAGAAGGATTTAATCGCCGTCAGGTCCGAAGTCCATACGACGCCTCAGCTCTGCGGATGTCTCGGGGGTATGGCAAAGTGGAGTCGATTTTTTTTTTTAATTCTGTCTGCGGGTTCGAACCCCATCGTATCCAGATCAGACTCTTTTTTTTTAAAAGCATATTATCATCACTTTGGCAATATCTTCTTAAATGGAAGGACTGCCCTTTTTTTTGTTCATATTCAGAATTAACAGTTTAAAATATCGAGTGAATTTTCCTGATTAAAATCTAATGAAACATACAGCAACTCGTTTCTTATTTGCAGCAACTCGTCCAACATACAGCAACTCGTTTCTTATTTGCAGCAACTCGGCTAACATACAGCAACTCGTTTCTCATTTGCAGCAACTCGTTTCTTATTTGCAGCAATTCGTCAAACATGAAGCAACTCGTCAAACATGAAGCAACTCGTTTCTTATTTGCAGCAACTCGGCTAACCTGCTGCATGACCCTTTTAAGCCACCGTACAAACGTACTTACTCTTAACAGAGTCAATAATTGCATAGTCTGCTCTAAATCCTCGACGACTCTCTTGWGAATCACTGAAAAATTTTAGAAGGACTTTTCCCCCAGTTATGTAAATCGGTGATGGCCTGATAAAACCGCAGTACCTTCCATAYGAATACTGACGCCCATTACTCTCGGTCAAGACCTCCAGAAAATCACATTTACAATCTACTGAGCAGCCTTCGATGTGGAACTCATTTGTGTTGAACGTGATGAGCACGTGCTTAGCACGTAGTACATCGATAGTCCACGTGCACAGTTTACTGTTACCATGACTGTAGGGATAGTCTGGAGTTGAGAATGTTCCTGTTTTTCCTCTGAGTTTGGCGCGAACTGGACATGGTCCTGCAACAACGTAATGGAAATATATTACATATATTCTAGTTTATTTCTGTTTTATAGCCACTTAAAAGAAATATTGCAATTGTGTGAACCAAACTTCCTTAGTATATAGAACTGTATATAGGCATACACCTTAAGCTTCGGACACACGGTGCATAGTTTCAAGGGATGTCACACTCAGCAGCTTTGCAACAAAACCACTATGAATAAAGCTAAGCAGAACTGCATTTCATTTGCTAAAAACATCACGCCATTGCCAACAACATTGCAGGACATGTTCACACAATAAAACTTGTTGCGTGCACTGTTGTAGAGGTATGCATTTGTTACCTATTGCACTTTTGCAACCTTGTCAGTCACGCCAACCCACATTCTACTTGGGTCTTGGAATGACTTAGTATCTAGTACCCATCTTCTATGTCTTTCGCTCCGACAATAAATCAGAACTACACATACCTTCACTTAAATTTACACTCGCATACTTTGCAACAAAATCAAATTTTTCGCTGGAATTCATATTCAAAACCACAGTGAGATGTCGACCCACAGAATAAATAGGCTTAWGGGCTGACGACGTTAGCTTTGGGTTGCAATACCGACCAATCATCTGTGACTCTACGTTCTTGCCTTCCATTACTTCAACGTGATTGTCCATACAGGCAAGAGAGTTGTTGACACGGAGAATAAGAAAGGTGAGTTTGACTCGGTGTTGTTTAGGGGCAGTTAGTAACCATGTGCAAGTTGTGATGTTGTCTTTTGGCGCTGGGACTGCAATGATTCCATTTCGTCTTGTAATACGAAGACTGGTCCTTAAAGGGTGACACTCTAGAAAGGCAACAAGGAAAAAATTATGGCATCTGAATGCATAACTAGAAATGGTTAAAATATTCATTAAAAAATAACAARGATACTATACTTAAAGGCGGGAAATAAGAGAATTAACTACAGTTTCAGCTTGAAACCATTTTGTTTGTCAAAGTCGCAAACAAGAATTTATACTTTAAAAATGCGCGAAATATTTTCAACTTAGTTTTTCATGTCCCAACTTGGGTTAGAGTTGGATGATTAATAATAATTTGATATGTTAATAATTTTGTAATTTAATACATATATTGCGTATTTTCGATATAGGGAGATGCTCACATTAAGGTACAATTACGGTATGAACTCCTTTGAATTTCAACGGAGAACGAAAAGCGCTCAAGTAACAAATGCGGACGAGAAAGCGTCCTTACTCCCTTACCTGCACTTCTATCTACGCATGTGTCGATAAACAAATCCCTACCGCTGACCTTATGATCGCCGTCAAGGTACATCTGCACCAAGTYTATCGTTGTCTCGGGTAGTTTACTCCAACGGATTATAACAGATGCATTATATATACAGCCTACAAACATATCACTAGCATCTCCTCCGATGAACACTCCATCGGGTTTACTCAGCGAAGGCTTCTGTATAATCTCTTGCTCAACGTGTTTATACAAATCACCGCTGTCCACACGGAAGTAAACATCGCGGTTGAGTCGACGCAAATAGACAGAATGTTTATGCCCGTCACAGGTATCCGTCCCAGTGGCGTTCAACTCAAGTTTAAACTTCCCATCAAGTATATTATACTCAAAGAAGAGCTTCCCCGAGGGTTCTAGCTTGAACGAATAGTAATGTTGCTGCGTATCTCTGCTTGGGATTTCGAGGATTTTACCACCGCAATTCGATGTTGAGAAAACAAGGTGAATGACGACCTCCGTGGAAGTCTCGGTCTTGGGGAATATATACTGAAGACTGCTGGTGCTGGTACGGAACAGCAAGGGCCCTACGATATGAAGCATAGTAAAACACTGATTTTGAATTATAAGATAYCTTTATAATGATTAGAATCAAAAGCGCTCGAAATTTTACTAATGGATTTATTACCTTGAGTAAGTTGCCCTTGGATTCCATTAAGTATACCTAAAAAACACATGTTTATTTTATACTGTGTTGGAGTACAAACACTATAAGTGTGTAACATACATACCACTAAATACTAATAAATTATGCTAATCCTATTGTTTTCTATTGTTTAATTAGCACTATTTACTACTAAATAGTGCAAAGTGTTGCACACTTTTAGTGTTYGTACTTTATTTTTGTTATAATTAGTAATTAGGTTGAGGACAAAACTGGGTCGAGTTGACATGCAGTGTATTGGATTGTTTTAGGGGACAAAATAGATGACATCTTTAAAATGTCCCCTAAGAATCCCACAACACACAAGCGCAATGGCAACTCGACCCTGTTTTTTCATCCTCGGAACCTTGAATGCAGCTGTTATCCTGRTTTTTTGTTTCTTTGAATTTCAACGCCGTTTATCGAGTCTCTGTTCAGAGAAGTTATGACGCCTGGAATAAAATAATCTGCGCACTTTTGGTTAAACCAACATTCAAATTCTATACCAATTTTCATTTTGTGATTTTACTGCGGTTATTTTCAATRATTTAACAAGTGATTTAGTCATATCAAATGAAAGATTAATCATTTAAAATGCAAACATGATTTTCTCGACCATACTTTTTTCTAATTTGCTCTTAAACGTGCGAAATTTTGCGATGGATTTTAAGTGATGTTTGAATTGGGCCTCGAGCTATCCATAACAAGAATCCGATTTTATATGATTCATATATGACTTGAATTCAAAAACTGCTACGATTGGTTGGGGATTGAATTTTTACCGAAATAACGCTTATTGAACTTTATTTACAAGCAAAAAGGCGCGCTTGATTACGACCATAAAATTATATCTTTATTTCCAATCATTTTCTAATTTTGGAATATTATTCATGCGCGCACTTCCTACTTAACTCTAACATCCTCCAAGTGTTCTTCTCTTTTTTGTATGCCTTTTGCCACTTCCCCGGGATTTTTTTCTTTTTTCTCAGTCATATTTCTTTTTCTCATTTTCCTCATTTTTTCCCTCATTTCTCTTTTTCGCCTATTTCTTTTTCTCGTTTTTCTTTTTGCCCAGAGTCTTACACTATTTTGTCAGCCGTCTAAATTTTATTTCCATGTAAGTTGAATTYCAAAATGTTTTGGATTAAGGGAGCTAGCATTAAAAAGCAATGGTGTGATCTCATTATCTTGAGGTATATATCGTGGTGTGGCGTGGTGTGCTGGGCTGTGCATAGCAGATGGCTCACTGTTRTTAAAACTAATGTTTTTTTACTTAGCCTGAAACATAGCTACCTTTAGTTATATACAAATACTTTGAATTATAACTCAAAAAATGGAATCGACTTATATTGACAATGAAATATGCACTCCAGTTGCTCATTAGACAAAGCTGAACTATGGGTGATAGGTGTCTGAACTATTTAATGTTTTTATTCACTCTCAGCGCACCGCATACAGTATTCATCTCTGTCACAGTAGACAAGAACAATTCGTAAAAATCGTTCTTACAATTATTTTCTATAAGATAAAAATTCGTGTTTCTCGGGATTTTGCTGACATTTGTTATGCACACGGACAGAATAAAGAGTACTGCGGATTTCTTTTTTCATATAACATTTTGAGTCTAATAAAATCAAGAAATTTGGTAAATGAGTATTTGCATTATGATAATGAAGAAGTTGGTCGCGGGTTCTTTGTGATTCTCCCGCAAAACGATCAGAAACTCATAGACGCAGATACAATAGAATCACCGGAGGTATAAGCTTCTATATTATGCTATAACCGCTGTGGTGTTACTCCTTTAATGATGTGAAACACATTGGATACGAAGATCGGAGTAAAAGACTGATCTGAAGATACTCACCAATCATCAAGGAAATAGCGAGAACTTGACATTCCATGCTGATCACCATTTTTGAGTTTTATTCAATGTAGCGGGAAGGAATGCAACATACCAAAAAAAATGCAGACTTTGTTTACAGATGATGGGCAAACATCGAGTCAACGAATAAGATTTCTTGTTGTACCCGGCAATCGAAACTAGCTCACATTAATACTAAATGCTCTGCTTTTTATGTATTGGCCGCCAGATCTGCATGAATTAATAATGCAATATCCATGTTTACCTTCCCTTGAGCCCACAGACTTATACCACAGCGGTATATCATAAAATATTCACTTTCATCTATWAATAATAACTAAACGATTTTTAACTAGAAGATGTGACCCTAAATTCTCTGCGCATGCGCTTACTTGTTGAACGCTGTCCTGATACTCAGAGCCTCTCACTATGACCACTMTCTTTCTCTTCGAAAGGGAAGGGGAACGAGGAACACCTAGATCAAGAMATTCTGCGTTTTTGATAAGGGACCGTGTATTATTTAGAATGCAGAAGGCTGTTACAAATAGGGGGGAAAGGGGAGGCCTTGAAAATTTCTGCAAGTATTTAAAAAGCCTTGCTTCATGATGAAAGAGTCGGTCAGA